AATCAGTACATTTGTAGAATGAACCACTAGAACAGACAGCAGATTTATGCCCAAGCATTTGTTTCTGAAATGAGAGGCTTTGAATCCCCGAAAGATGATCAAGGAAAGAGAAAAGCGTGAAACCTACACCACTGCACTGCAGTGATGCTGAGCTTTAACAGTGAATGCCAGCAAAGACGGCACAAAAATCAATGGGTTTACTGAACTGCATCAAGCAAAACATCTAGAAGAGGGAGGGAGATGTCAGGCAGCATCTCTTCATTCATCACTTCAAACTCAAAAACAAAGAATCAATCAATTCTGGTCAATTTAAGGTACTAAACTTTAGGTTATACACACTGACCAGTTGGGCTTTATTTTTACTTTACTCCACATGTGCCAAGATACAAATCAAACAAATTAAATGGAGTTGAAAAGCAATCCAAGTCTTAAGCCCAAGAACACCACATTCTGGTAAATATGTGGAATTCACTATCTTAAGAAGTGGCCAAGGCAAATAGCACCAATGCACTTAGGGTAAGTTAATGAAGTACATGAGGGAGAAAGAAATAGATAGGCACATTGATTGGATGAAATAAAGTGGAATGAGAGGAAGCACTTGTGTAAGACATATGGTACGGTGTAGTAAATTCCACTGAACGTAACAAGGAGCACAGACTGAAGGGGTGAACTATTCCTCTGTTGCTTGCATGGGCCATGTATGGAAATAGCCTGACTAGTCTTGATGCAGGTCCTGTTGAGCTAGGGCCTACAACACAAAACAAATCTTGGCAAAATTTACTTGAGGGAAATGCAACAGGCTGGTCAGTGGATAAAAAGGATACCACAGAAGCCAGTACTTTTCTCAAATGGGGCTCAGGCAATAATACCCCTGCCCTCGAGACACTCACTGCTGGAAAAGGTGTTTCATTCTCTGGCACTTGCATCTTTCAAACCCACAAGTAATTCTTTCTTCTTACAATTATTCCCCCTCATGTCGGGTCATGCTCTGCCTGACCATACCCACTTCCCCCCCTCCACATCTGGCAGCGATAGTCCTGGACCTGTGTCATGTCAGCTCAAATATTAGCTTTTCAACGGCTGCAAAGTTCCTGCCAATGTTTTCTTTCAAATTACACAAACTGCAATTATTTGTAAGTCAGAATGGTGAAATTACTTGGCATACCTACTTTGAAAACCACATAAAATATAGGAGTCTGTGAGGATGTTTTTGTTCACAATCCACCCCTCTCACCCACAAAGAGAGAATCTTGCCCTGTTGGTTGTCAACGTACCTGCCCAAATGTAGAGTACAGGAATACCGGAATCTCAGCCACTGTCATCGCCAGGGCTTGGATAATGGATGCCCCATCCGTTCTCCTCAACGACATTGTGCACCCAGGTCAACTTTTCCCGTACGTCCACGAGGAAAGGATCTGTTCGCCGAAGTCTTGTTCAGTCAGTTGGCAAGGGTCATCAAGCAGAGGGGTTTGGGATGTTTCAGTCAGTTCTCATTGCATTTTAAAATTCAGAATCAGGGCTCCCTTGAGGGATGGGGTGGGGCTGGTGGGCGGTAGGAGGTAGAAAAATGCAGAAAGCTGCAATCCCCACAAAACTGAACTGTCACCCTAGTCCCTCTCTGGCGCTTCCTTCCAATGCCAGTAGGTTGACAGCTCTCAATTACCATGCAGCTCCAGTCAAAGCTCCTGCCCTAGCCTCAGTGTTCTAACCACTTGCTCCTTCTAGATTAATGAAAAGCCAGGATTAAAAACAAGGTAACAGCAAAGGACCAGCAAAAACAAACACAACTGCCACAAACACATGGAGCCTTGTGCATCCAACTCCTTACTCAGAATAACCCCAAACTAAGAGGAGGCAACTCGGGACTGCAGCATGACACCTGCATTAGATTATCGCCTGCTCTCCCCTCCCTCTGAATGGCATCAGCAGGAGTCAGAGCAGTTCTTCAGTGCTCCCAAGAAGGTCAGCAGAGGGTAGCAGCAAAGAAAGGAGAAAAATGTCTTCAAAAAGAAGCTAAGACTACATTCAATAGTTCCAACAGACTGCTCGGAGTCTGTCTGAAATTCTCCACTTATCCATTTGGAATCATATTCATTTACAGCACAGAAGGAGACTAATAAGCTCTTTATATAGCATTGGCTATTTGTTAGAGCATCCAAAACTAATCGCCAACAGCCTCACAGACGTGTATGTGCCTCTGTTTCAAGCTTTTTACCTTAATATATGCATGTATCTATCTCAACCATTCCTTTTAGCAAAGCCCATGTGGTCCAACAACTCTCCACATAAACAAATTTCTCAAATTCCCTCCTAACTTTCTCTGTAAACTGTTAACCCCTTGTTACTGACTCATCAGTTAGAACAGGTTGACTTTCCCTATCCGCCCCACCAATACCAGCATAATTTTAATACCCTCAGTACAGAAAATAGCTCACCCTTCCTCCCCATCTCTCATGTCACTCTTCAGAATTACAAATTCCCAGCACTGCACCATATTAATTAGTCTATACTAGCCACTCCTCATTTTAATGTGCTTCCTATGATGAATATTACACACAACACCATAATTAATGTAAAATGCCCTGTCCTACACACAGGATTAGGATTTGATTTGATTCCATTGCATGGGATTGAGATCTTTTTTACAAGTACAAATAGAATATCCTGAACATGTACCATTTTAGAAATGATAAAATAGTCAAAGTTGCTCATTCCCAGAATGTTTCAGGGCAAGTATGACAATGAGCAAAAAAAAAGCTTTTGTCAGCAAGGTGATATCTGGATTGCACTGCCTGTGAGTGTAGTGCTAGAAGGTTCAGTTGAAAGAATCAAAGGAGAGTTTGAAATTGAAAAGGAAGAATTAAAAGAGTTATAGGGACTAAGCAGGGAAATGGCACTAGGTGAACTGTTCACTCGAAGAGCTGGTGCAGATACATTGGGCCAAATGGCCTCCTTCTGCACAGTAAGCATTCTGAGATTGAGAATTCTTTTATTTGCAAGAAATACTCAAGTCAAATAGCAGAGCACTCTATATCACAAACAAATCAGACAATAGTCAATAAATTAATTATGAAACTGAGATACAACTACCACATCATACTGAATTAAACATTACAAGGAAGGATGTGAGTGACTACAGCCCTTTGAAGGTTTTAAGCATTCCTTCTCAATTTGTAAAAGGTAAGAATTGAAAGATGAGGGTTTTGTCTGAACCCAGAACAAAAGAAGGTAATTTGGTCTTTTTTTGCATGTCTATTGCTTAAGGCACCAACTGTGTTGTGACAGATTGAACTCAATAATGATTAGTTGCAAACCAAAAACAAGCCGATGTCAAGTCTGAGAATTTAATACTGCGGCCAAACCCTACATTTTGTACAAATTCATTTACTGCCTTTCCTCCCAGATTTGTAAAATCCAAGTGAAATTTTAAATAAATTTATCAACCTCCAGATCCACGTTCAGAGGATTTGACTCTCGAGTCACCTCTTTTCATTACATCTTTCAGTATCTTTCCATTGAGTGTTTACTCCAATTACACGCTGTTTTGTGCAAAATGACGTAGTAGCCCCAAATGAATTTAATACAGGACTCCTACAGAGACTGAGCCATAGGTTTAAATGGAGGCTCAGCTATACAAGTTCAAAGCTTAATTGAATACTGCAATATACAGATGGGGAAAGCTCTGTGGATCACTGGTTCTTTAAACTTCAGCAAACCAGAAGAGTACCAACTATTCCAAATTCAACCTCTCCCAAACATAAACCATGCAACACCAAATGGTTGTCCTTTAACAGGAGTACTGCCCAATCAGGAACAGTGCAGGGACATACTTTAATCATCCTTCTCCCCAGATTAACAAAGTCAGAGAAGAATATTCCTTCTATCATTGCAAGTGCCCAGGGAGAACATAAAGAACATAACAGCTAGGAGCAGGAGTAGGCCATCTGGCCCCTCGAGCCTGCCCCGCCATTTAATAAGATCATGGCTGATCTTTTTGAGACTCAGCTCCACTTACCCGCCCACTCACCATAACCCTTAATTCCTTTACTGTTCAAAAATTTATCTAGCCTTGCCTTAAAAACATTCAGCGAGGTAGCTTCAACCGCTTCACTGGGCAGGGAATTCCACAGATTCACAACTCTTTGGGTGAAGAAGTTCCTCCTGACCTCAGTCCTACATCTGCTTCCCTTTATTTTGAGGCGATGCCCTCTAGTCCTAGTTTCACCTGCTAGCGGAAACAACCTCCCTGCCTCCAGCTTATCTATTCCCTTCATAATCTCATATGTTTCTATAAGATCTCCCCTCATTCTTCTGAATTCCAATGAGTATAATCCCAGTCTACTCAGTCTCTCCTCATAATCCAACCCTCTCAACTCTGGAATCAACCGAGTGAATCTCCTCTGCACCCCCTTCAGTGCTAGTATATCTCTTCTCAAGTAAGGAGACCAAAACTGCACACAGTACTCCAGGTGTGGCCTTACCAGGACCCTATACAGCTGCAGCATAGCCTCCCTGTTTTTAAACTTCATCCCTTGAGCAATGGCAGACAAAATTCCATTTGTCTTTTTAATCACCTGCTGCACCTGCAATCCCACCTTCAGCGATTCATGCACAAGGACACCCAAGTCCCTTTGCACAGCAGCGTGCTGCAATTTTTTACCATTTAAAACATAGTCCATGTTTTAAATTTAGGCTGCAAATTTAAACCCAGCACCTAGCCAAGCAGTTGTAGGCTTGTCAGCAAGTTGTTCCAAATTTGCTCACCACACAACAACATTAATCTGACCTAACTGGCAAATAACAATCAATTTTAATTATACAGCACTTTTAACATAGCACAATATCTCAAGGCTCTTTAATTATTTTTTCATGGGACGTGGACATCACTGGTAAAATCAGTATTTGTTATCCATCCCTAGCGGCCCTAGGACTCAGTAGCTTGCTGGGCCATTTCAGAGGGAAGTTAAGAGCCAACCACATTGCAGTAGGTCTGGAATCACATGCGACAGACTGGGGATGGAGGGCAGGTAGTGGTGCTATAAAACGAAAGTAGACATTGATCTACAGGACGGGTTACTTGGACGGGTGGTCAAAGACAAAGTGCAACAGCGTCTAAAAATGGAATTCCAGAGCTTAGGGACCTGACAGCTCAAGGCATGGCCACCTCCTTTTAGCAACAGTTAAGTTCTGAACTCCAAAGAATGCAGTGTGGGAGTCTGAGCCAATGGGACAGTTTTATTTGTACTTGCACTTGGGCCAACATCATCTAAATTCAAAAGCAGAAAACTGGGAAGGCTCCACTGAAGCTGATTCAGTGAGACCCTAGTACTGGAAAAGATAAAATCAACACACCAAAAATGTTTTATCATCAGGTAAGTTACGGAGTTAGCTGGTCTCTAATGCAGCAGGGGCCTTCGACACCTTTCAGCTGAGGAGAGGAGAAGCCAATTCACCACGCCGTGCTAACCAGCTGTGACAGCATTGATGTACAGGCAAATCCATTTTCTCACCTTCTTCCCAAATTTCCCTGAACTCACTTCAAATATGGCGAATGCTGCTGGATGTGGACATCACTAGCAGCAGCAACATTTACCATTCATGTTGCCCTGAGGAAGAGGTAGGTGGCCCTCCACTCGAGCACTGCTAGTGATCCAATACAGTTGTTTATTGAATCAGAG